AGCCCAGGCAGAGTGGGCAGGCAAAGGGGGCTCCCTGGGAGAGGGAAGGGACCCTGGGTGGGGTGCTTAAAGCCCTGAGCTGCCCTGCATTTAAGGCCCCTGCAATTAGCCTGCCCTATCATTGGCCGGCCACAGCAAGGCCCGGGGGGCCTCTCCCCCAGCCACACAGGGCGTGTGCATGTTTAGCAACCTCTGTCTGCCAGACTGCTGGTTCAGGGGGGCGCCCAAGGGAGGTGAAATAATACAGGGACATGCGTCTGGCACCAGGGATGCTCAGAAAATGTTCTCACCCCCAATGTCCCCTCTGCACAGCCGTGTGGGTGGATGGGATGTTTGGTCCCGTGCATGTGTATAGTGTATGGGGATGGATGGTGGCATAACTGTGCCTGAGTCTGTGCCCCGCCCTACTATCCCACTGAGAGATTTCTCAGAATTGGGATGCAGAGGTCACGGGGACTGACAGCTTGACCCAGAAAAGGAGATGGTCACACGCCCAACCACAGACAGGAACGTGCAGGATGGGGACGAGACCTCGCAGGCCAGGGACGCCCAGCCACCCTGCTTGCAGACATGCACAAACACGTGTGCACACAGACTTGGGGAGGGGCACACGTGGAATCGGACACCACACACATTCCGGAAGACAAGCCACTAAACCACAGTGCCCAGCAGGGATCAAAGCCTGAGTTCCCACACTTGATTCTAAAATACTCCGGCACCTCCGCCCGGCGCCTGGGGACAGTCGGAGCAGGGCCAAAAGCAGTATGTTCGGAATGGGACGCCACCATCGATGCTGGGGTCAGTCTGGGGGACTTGGCTGCGGATGTTCTCAGGTAGCTCCCCTCAGGAAGGCCCCCTCCCCACCCAGCCAGGAACCAGGCCCAGGAGGCACCTTCGGGAACCAGGACTTTTAATCGTGGCACCTAGGCTGAGCCTGGCAAGTGGGGACGGAGGGGACCAGGGACCATCAAGGTTACGGGGAGGCCCCTGGGGGCCAAAATGGGGATCCCTGGGGTCAGCGTTCGGTGCCCAGCCTGGGGCTGGGGATGGGCATCAAGCCCTAAGGTAGAGTTGGGGTTCTGGGAGGTCAGGGGGGCAGTGCCGTGGGGCTCGGTGTCCTCGGATCGGGGCTCCAGGTTGGGACAGNGGACTCAGTTGAGTCCCTGGAGATCAGCATTAGGGGGCTGAGCGTCTCTGAGGGTGGAGGGCGCTTCCAGGGTGGCTGGAAAATGGGGGCCCCCACTTCTCCCACCATCTGTTGGGGGCATCAGACAAGTTCCAAGGGGGAGCTTTGGTGTTCACGGGGTCAGAAGAGGAAGACCCAGTCAATTGCTGGGGTCCCTGACCCCCGCCTTTTTCCAGGCCGCCCAGTTGGGCAACCCTCTCCATGGCGGATGCCAGCGAGGACCCCACCATATTTACTGCCCACTCTCTGCCCAGTGACCCCCGGTTCTGGGCCACTGTGACCAACGCATACTTGGGCACACGTGTGTATCATGATACCCTGCACGTGAGTGGGTTATACAACGGGGCCTCTGGGGACACACACCGGGCCGCTCTGCCCAGTCCCCTCAACGTCCAGCTGGTGGCCCCTGCAGGAACAGGAGAGCAGCTGACCAAGACCTTTACCCTGGACACGAACACAGGTAACCACTGTCTGTCCTGCCTCCCTCACCCCCAAAGCCATTGTCCCTCTCCAGTTCACAATGCCCCACTCACAGAAAAGGAGGCCGCAGGGGGCAGGCGTCCTGGACTGGCAGGAGCCTGGGGTCCCCTGTGCAGCTGTAGCTTCCTGGACAGGGAACTGGGGCTCAGAGAGTGGGTCCACCTCACTCCCAGCCCAGAAGGCCAGCAGCTTCGTAACTGTCCTGGGTGGCCCTGACTGTAGCATGCAGATGAGGTGCCGTCTCCCCAGGCTCCTTTCTGCACACCCTGGAGGACTCCAGCTTCCGGGCCTCCCAGTGCATCTATGCCCACCGCACGCTGCCTCACGTCCTGGTCCTCAGTGTGTCCCTCAGCCGCCTGGCCGCGGGAAGCGGGCCCATCACCGTGTTGCTGCAGGCAGCCTTCTCCCCAGAAAGCCCGGACTTGGACCTGCACCTGGGGCCTGACTTCCTGGGAGCCCGGTGAGGAGGGGCTGGGGGCCCGCTGGGCGGCCCGGGAGGAGGCCCGTCCCTGAGGCATGGCCGTGCTCTTACAGATACCTGTACGGCCACACGCTCACCCCCGAGCAGCCTGGGGGGCCGCAGCAGGAGGTGCACATGCTGTGGACACCAGTGCCCTCAGCCCTGACCCTTGGGCACGATGAGGAGGACGGGACCTGGGAGTTCCTGACTGTGGTGGGCCGCAGCCAGGCTGAGGCCCAGGCCTGCCTCGCTGAGGCCCTGCGGCTGCAGGCCGGGGGCACTCTGTATACTGCCCATGCCCAGGCCTGGGCCCAACTCTGGGTAGGCTGTGGCCTGGACGTGGTGGGGCCCCTGGCCCTGCGCCAGGCCCTGCGTGCTGCCCTCTACTACCTGCTCAGCGCCCTGCCCCACCCCGGGGCCCCGGGGTACGTCTGCCACGGCCTCAGCCCTGGGGGCCTCTCCAACGGGAGTCGTGAGGAGTGCTACTGGGGCCATGTCTTCTGGGACCAGGTGTGTGCCACCCACCCCCAAC